CCCTCTCAAAGGTTCATAGCAGATCCCAGCTACCCTTTTTCCCTCTAAAATGCTCACAGCAGATTGCAACACCTTCTATTCCACCCTCTAAAACATTCCCAGCAGATCCCAGCTCCTATTTTCCCTTCTAAATTACTCACAGCACATCCCAGCTCATCTTTCCCCCATCTAAAATGCCCACAAGCAGATTGCAACTGCTTCTATTCCACCCTCTAAAATACTCACAGTAGATCCCAGGTCTCTTCCCCTCCAATATGTTCCCAGCAGATCCCAGGTCCTATTTCCCCAACTAAAATACTCACAGCACATCCCAGCTCCTCTTTCCCCATCTTAAAGGTTCACAGCACATCCCAACTCCTCTTACTCCTTCTAAAATGTTCACAGATCCGAACTCCTCTCCTTCCCTCTAAAACGTTCCCAGCAGATCCCAGCTCCATTTTTCCCCTCTAAAACATTCCCAGCAGATCCCAGCTCCTCCTGCCCCTCTAAAAGATCCAGACCCATCCCAGTGTGCAGGGACACAGTGCTGCACAGGAGCCACACACAGCAAGGACACAGCAGGCTGGGAACAACCTGTAAAGGCAGATTTTGGATCGAAGCTGGCAGGAGTGTGACCTTGTCCTTTTCTTTGCTGGGATTTGCAGGACTGAGTCCAAAGAAATAAATCAGCAACGCAGAGGGAGCAGTTCCCCTCTCTGGGCCCTGCACGGTGCAGCTCAGACATGACAACACCAGGCAGCCCAGCACGTGTGAAGGGTGAGGGTACAGGCTCAGGGAGCTGCCAAAAAAAAAAAGAGGGAACAGGAAAAGAAGCAGCAGGGGAATCCCAGCATTTCTCCTCAGCCTCAAATCTAAGAAAGGCACATCCAAAGCTGGGCTGTGCTGCAGTTTCCTGGCTGATACAGGAGAGGATTTGCTGTCCCCAGTCCTGGCCACTGCCCCCTGACAGCCTCTGCCTCATCACTCTGGCATCTCCAGCAGCTTCTCCCACACCAGGCTGCTGCAGACAGCTCGGAACTGCTGTGGAACAGCCAATATTGTGCCACATTGAGCTGGGAGAGAATTAACAGAACCCAAAGCCAGCCAGCTGAGGCAGCAACTGCTGGCAGGGCCGGGAGCAGGGTCAGGACAGCCCTGCACAGCCCTCCTGTGCCTCTCCACAGGCAGCTGCCACCCCCCGGTGCCGATGTGTACAGAGGAGATTTGTGTGTTTGTTCTCCAAACGTGCCTTGTTAACGCTGGGGGAATATTGACACAACGTTCCCTTCAAAGCAAACGGAAATTGAAGCTTTTTATTAAACCGTTTTTTTATTTTTTCTTTAATCTCAGCTTTTAGAACAAGACACTTAACAACATTAACATTCGTTTTTCTATCACACATCACATGTTCCTGCTTCATCTGAACACTGTCTGCCTGCCCAGAAGTCCTGAGAGCGAAGATTCACAGAGAAGCAGACACTTAAACACACACAACAAACAGGAAAATGCAAGTGGGTTTTACTAATGAGGCAGCCACTTTCTCCACCAGAAACAATCCCACTGTAGCAGACACCACCAGCATCTTTTGTCTTGGTCTAATTTGGGAGCCAGAACTGCACAGAAGCGGGAAGGCAGTTAATGTATGCAAAGTTTGCTCGAGCAGAAAGTGCTTGATCGAGTCGGGGAGTGGAAGAACAGAAGCTCTGCATTGCAAACAAAGGATTCCCCCAGGAGCAGGAGGCATTTTGAAGATGTCCACTTCTGCATGTGGAATGAAAAGCTGAGACTTCTCACAGAGAAATGCAAATCAATTAAGTGAAGCAAGGGATGTTTGGGGAGGAGAAGGAAAATACTTGGCAGGCAAGCGCTTAAAACGGCGAGCAGCTCTGTGGGAGTCGTGTCCCAGGGACCGGACCAAAAACATAATTAGTCTGTGGTGGAGATAAACACCGAGTTTGTGCTCATTTTCCTCATCCCAAACACCTCCTGGGCACTTGCTGCCTCTCATCCTTCCTCCAGCAGCAGCAGAGCACTGTGAGGATGTGACACACCTCGGGGAGGAAGGGGTGGCTGAGGGTGAAATGTGAAATGTTCCTTCCACGAGCAGCAAACAACAGCCCCGGGTTTGTACCACTCCCTCACACCCTGGGCATCCCCAGCTGGTGGCACCTGGGTGGCAGCTCTGTGCCACCAGGGCCTTGTCCCCACAGAGGTGACTCCTGTAGCTGGGAAAAAGGCAGCCACCAGTCCCACCAGTCTGGCAAGGAAACAAGGAGCTTCAGATGTAGATCACATCCGAGTCGTGCTGCTGAACCTGCAGCAAATCAAAGAGGGACAATTAGTTCTGGCTTCCAGTAAATCCCTGTGGTCTGGTTCTTCCTTCAGTTCCAATTCTGGAGCCTTTTGCCCTGAAACAGCTTTTTCTCCCTTCTTTAAACAATTTTTTTGCCTCACCCCTGAGTTTAGTCATCAAAGTTGCTTCTGTTCCTTGCCTCAGAAGGAGCTGATCCCTCATCTGTTGTGCCCTTTAGTTCTCAGCCCACAAACCCTGAAGGAGGCATTGAATCTTGTACACTCTGAGCTTTTAATTGATCCTAACCCCCCCAGTTTGGTGCAGATAAACCCCAACAAACCCATCAGGCTTTCCTCCTTCCCAAAGCCTCGCCCAATTAGCGCTGCCTGCAGAGAGCTGATTTCCTCCCCGCCGTTCGAGGCCATGTTTCCTCCTGGCTCTTCTTGATTCTCCAGCCCAGTGACATTTCAAACAGGTCGGGTTTTTTTTGCCTAAAAGCCAGCTCAGTGCTCTTCAGGCCTGTTTGACAGGGAGCACGTGGCAGAGGAGGGAGCTGTGGGAAGCCTGGGTATTTCTGGGTCTCTCCCTCGCTGCCTTTGAAAAGCAGAAGACAGGCACAGTATCTTTGAATCTCTCCGTACCTGGGAGCGCATTTCTCGTTTTCCAAGGCTGGCTGGTACAAATGGAATTGAACACAGATCCTCCTACTGTGTACAGACATCTCTGCTTCATTTAGCAAGGCTTTCCAGCTTAGATCAGAAGTGAGAAAAAACAGCCTGCCTCGAGTCATAAACATTCCCAAACGATGTGCCAGCACCACAGGCTCCAAAATCCTACAAAAGCCCTGTCATCTGCGAGGTTGTGACAGAGCAGGACGAACCAGGTTCCTCCAGCCAGCCAATCTTTCTGAACTCTAAACTTTTAATCAACATTGAGGAATTTACTTACAAATCTGATTACCTTGATCATCTGTTTTCTGGCTCCTGTGCCCACGCTGTTGGCAACCAAGGGATTTGCTTGGGAAGATGACTTTTCCACTGGCACAGCGTGTTGAGTTTTGTTGGTGCAGGGCCAGCTGCCTGCAGTGTTTACCAAGTAAGCAGGGAAAGGTCTTGGAAGATTTGCATCTCCACTTTTGAAGGTTTTCATCCACGCTGGGGCCTCAAAAAGAAAAGAGCACATGGAAATGTAGTGGCCTCTCTGTATCAACACTCAGCAAGCCAAAAAGAACAGCACATGAGTAATCAGAAAAGAAAGGCCATCTTTGCTCATCCTTTTTTCCTCCCTTCTGTCTCTAAAAACCACTGACTCAGAGCCATTTTTGCTGCAACCTGCAGACAAGGCCAGACCTATTCTTGCACTGCTTCAGGAAGAAGTTTATTTAAATAACTGGCAACTTATGACAAAATTCTGGGTCTAGTTCCTCATTGTCTTAAAAAAAAAATACACCAAGGCTTTTATGACTTTCAGCAACCACAAAGCACATGAATGAGAATGTGATGCAAACTGGAAGAAACCACGTTTAAATTTGTCAGTCATAACCATTTCGTTTACTCCAAGACCTTCAACCTTGACTTTTTTTTTGTGATTTCATAATCATTTTTTGCTCGTGGTCCTGGTGTTCAGCCCAGGCAAAAGGCCTTAAGATTTTGTTTGGACATGAATTTTGCTCCTCTAGAAGGGTTCATGTTTCTGCTATTTTATCATCAAGAGGGCTAAAGGCTTGGACTGAAATAGAGCAGCAACCTGTGGCACACCCACGCTGCTCCATTTGTGGGTTCCTGCTGGAGAAAGTGAAAGATTGAGGTACTTACAGACCCTAAGGAGCGATCCAAGGAGCCCAGGACTTCATTCCAATGAGAGTAAAGCCCAGCCTGCTTTTCCTCCAGTTTCAGAGCGTGGATTTCGGACTTCAGTTCCTTCAGTCGATCTTCGAATTTCCTGCTCTTTTCCAAGTAGTCAAGCCTGGGTGCACACATTGGAGAAAAGCAGCTCAGGGTGGCACAACACAGCTCAAGAAAAGGTGTTTGTGGAGGAGGAGAGTTGGGTTTTGTGKKKTTTTTTGTTTCATTTTATGTTTTAAAGGCAAAATGAACCCTGGCACACATCAGCCCAGCTCCCCTGACCCCGTTCACTTCTTTCTTTTTACTTCCTGACTTTTCACCAAGCATTTCCTTCCAGACTAAGGGATGTCTGATGGATTGGCCTCCAGCAATCCCACACTTTAGCACTAGAGGGAAACTTCTGTCCTCTCACACGCTGGCAGTTCAGCAAAGAGCTTTGTCCCTCCCCAAGACAGAAGGTTCTGGACTTGATGCCACCACAAAAACCCTTCCTCTCTTTGAAGATGTCTCTTACATAAGACATCACCCACACCAGCTTGGAAAAAGGCCTCCAGAAAAAAGGCCTTAATTGCTAAAATCTTAATTAAATCTTAATTGTTAAAAGACAAACTGTGATTCCCAAAGATTTCCTTTCTCATTTATTTGCACCACGAGCAGACTGATACCTCTCTCTCTCTATCTCAAAGGAGAGTCTCTTGAGGTCGATGTCCTTCAAATCCAATTTTATGGATCCTTTGTCGAAGTTGACGTCTCTGCTGTCACCTGGGGAGTACTGGGGGTACTTGGCCATGTGCTGGAAGAGGCAACACAAGCACTGTCAGGGACGTCTGGGATTGATCTGGGGTTTGTCTCCCCAGCTGCTACAAATGTTGAGCCACTTTTGAAGTTTCTGATGATGCCTTAGAATTTAGTTTCTGTATTTTCATGGATCTATATTCTCGTACTTCTCTAGTACAGCATTAAAGCTGCTGTTCTCCCATCTTTAGACAAAACAATTCCTCTCCAAGCATGAATCCAAGGACACTTTGCTGCCTCAGAGCCCCAAAATATGAAAACAACAGAACTTATAAAAGGGGAAGATCTCGTGATTCAGGTCCCATTTTGGCTTTTGTCTGCCCTTAATGGACCAGTCGGCCTGGATTAAATTTGTCTGCTTTTATTCTCTTAACTTTGTTCAGCCCCTGTTTCAGGTGAGCCTTGTTTTAGGCATCACTGAGACACACAGATGCTCCTGCAGCCCTTCCCCTGCACCCAGATCAGCCCACAACCCACAGACCCGAGAGCAGAGATTTCTCCTGACTGCAGCATTTCCATTTCAGCAGAGAATGGAAACCCATCCTCAGCAGGACTGGAGCAGAGGAGGAAGCTGGGCCACAGAACTTTCTTGCTGGGACAACTTCACCTGCTTTGCCTAAAGACACTCACGGGGAATCTGTGAACCAAGTACAACCATTCCCCAAAAAATGGCCTGAAATGGCACCACATGTGAGGCAAGAAGGCAGGACAGCCTCTGCTCCCTGGGTCCCATCACCACTTCTGCTTTTAACTTTTGTCTCACCTTTCTTATCATCCTGAACAAACTCAACTTCTATCCCCACCAGAGTTTTCACACAATTTGCCCCCCAGCTGGATGCAGCCATTTGACAGGGGCTATCAAAATGTCATCAGCACCCAATTGTCCCTGCAAATGAAGCAGTGCCCAGGTCTGGTGGTTTTGCTCAGTCCAATCTTTTTAGTGGTGGGGGATGGGACCAAAAAAAACCACAAAGACAGCTCCTGTGAGAAAGTCCTGGAAGCTTTCTCCATCATGTCCAGCAAAGGAGCAGAACTTACAGGGTAATTAATCCTGGTGATGTCCAAGAGCTTCTGCTTGGCTTTGCGCTCGGCCTCACGGGCCTCGTGCAGGTCTTGCTTCAGGTGCTCTGCCTCCTTGGCTCTGCAAGAGAAATATCCCGAATGGCTGATGATTTCCAACCAACACATGGATTTCAGAGCTCACTGAACTCCAGAGAACACATCCCCTGCTGTGCCATCTTTACCCCAAGGCACTCGTGGTAGGATGCTCACATGGAGAACTGACTGCCTGAATGAACACGGTTTTTCCTATTCCTAATTTCCACAGATTCCTCATTTCCATGATATAAATTTTATTTATAACCTGCTGATACAGATTCTCTCCAGGCCAGCAGAGATGGGGGAGAAGTTGCTCTTTATTTTGTCAGTATCCTAAAACAAGTAGAAGGATTGTTATTAGTAACAGGGTTAAAAATCCTCTGTCAACACTGGCCTGGCTCTGCATCCTCAGGGAAAATGCAAACACTCAGAGGGGTTTATATTCCATCAAAGTTTACCTGGTTTTACACTTTTGGAAGATCTGAAAGGGAAATAAGATCATGCACTTGGTACTGAGCAATGAAAGCAGTTGCCTCATATATAGTTAGGGAGATAGATCATTTGATATTAAATAAAAAATATCTCATTTGGATGAAAACAGCCTTACATCTCACAGGGGATAAAGACTGGTGAATTTGGATAGTTAGGGAGACAGTGATGATTTGGTAACAAATAAAAAAGTCTCATTTGATATCAAAGAAAATTTCTCTGCATTCTGGATCCTTCTTTCTAAACATCTCCACAGCTCTGCCCCTGATCTCTGTAAAATTCACAGCCCCCAGCTCCAGGTGGAACAAACAAGGCACAAGGAGGCTCAGCCACTCTGAAGTGTCACTTCAGGGACAACCATCCCCTCCTGGAATTTTAATTTCAAATTCCACTTTAATTAATAATTGGCTCTGAGGGAAGCAGCACTTTCTGCAGGGAAGCAAAGCCAACCTCCTGTCGGACTCCTTGACCAGCTTCACCGCGATCAGCTCCGCCTCCCTCATCTTCTGCTCCATCAGCCTTTTCTCCTCTTTGCTTTTCAGGGCTGTGATCTCCAGCCTCTGGCGCTCCTGCTCAGCTTCTGCAGCATTCTGGGCCAGCAGCTTGGCCTCTTCTTCTGCAATCTGGGCTTTCTCAGCCAGCAGCTCGGCTGCCTCCTGGGATCGGAGCTGAGGAGAAAGAACTTTCCTTAGTTCCTTGTCTAGAACCTACAGTTTTGTAGGAAGAAGATATCCTTTACCAAGAGATCAAGTGATAAAATATTATTTCTTAAACAAAAAAACAACACAGTTTCAGGGTTAATGCTCCTCCTCTGCTCCAGAATCTCCTGTGTCTCACTTCTACAAAGCAAGGAGAAAAATCTTCAAGAGCTGGACAAAGATTTCAATCAAAAATTGAAGCTTCAGCTGCCTCTTTCTCCCAGTTTCAGCTCCAAAGTTATTTCCTTTCTCCCTTTCTTAAACCAAAAAAAGTGGGAATGGCTCACAGACTGTGGCAGATTAGGGTTTTCCCAGATATTCTTCTCACCAGTGATGAGAAACTCTCCAGCCTTGTCTGAGCTACAATGCCTGGTGTGTCCTGGTGTCAAAAAAAAATCTGTTTTCAAATCAAAAGAGCCCATCAAGCACAGGAATACTCAGCCTAACTCACCAGAGCCTCGTTGGCCTGCCTGGCTTCATCTTCCAGCTGGAAAAGGCGCCTTTCCAGCTCTTCCTTGGCTCTCTCGGCTTCTTCTCGGAGCTGCTTCTCCCTGGCCAGCCTCTGATTCTCCATCTGGGAGCAGGATGAGAGATATTTTGTGGGATTGCCGCAAAATTTCATCTGGGCCTGAGTGAAATTATCACATGAGGAAGGGGCTGCTCTGCAGTGAGGATGGTCATGAGGTGCTGAAGCTGCCTGCACTGAAGGAATTCTGCTTCCTCAAAAAGGAAATAATTCCTGGTGGTTTCAGGCTGCTGGAAGAACCCTTGGATTGACCCTTTGTGTGCCCCAAACCTTTGGGATCACCTCTCCACAGCCCTGAGCTGCTCCCACACCCAATCCTGCCGYGTTTCCTCACCTCCCACACACCTAYTSATGGAATATGGGAGCAGCAAAGGCACCAGCTGGAATAATAATCAGTTTAAAACAATACAGGAGCAGAAATAATTTAATTTAATAATAATCATTTACCTTTTTCCTGGCTTTTTCTTCCCTGGCCTGTGCTTTCATTTGCTGGATCTCTATGGAGTCCACTTTTCTCCTCCTCATAAATAGGTCRTGGTTGCCRATGCACAGCTGGAAAATCTGGGCARGAAASGCAAAGAAATGGGATTTGGATGGATTTGTGCCCCTGCCAGAGGGACAGAGAGACCCATACTGGGCCCACAGGACAGCTCTGACTTCAGCCCCAGCACTGGAGCTGCTTCCATTCCAAGGAAATCAGCACCCAGGACAGGCTCATATCCAGGAACAGAATGGTTTAGAGAAGTTTGGAACAGGATGAGAGATTCCCTCTGTCCTTTCCCTCCCCCGATCCCATTTTCCTGACTGGCACAGGCTGAGATGACAATTTTGTTTACAAACAATATTTCTCCGACACTATCACCAGGCTCACTGGTCACTTACCAGTTTGTTCACTTTGAGCTGAGAGGAAAAGAACTTGAAGACTTCTGCTTTTTTGTCAAGGGGCTTAATGGTTAACTATGGAGGTAAAAGGAAAAAAAAAATAAGAAAGGAAACACAGTGAGGAGGAAAAGAAGTTGAAACTTTTAACACCAATCCAAACTTGAGCTGATCTCCACTTCCCYCTGGGGGAGCAGTGGGGAAGTGCCACAAAAGTGGGGAGAGTGATGTCAAATTGGTTTTCTCCAGAGAATCAGGCTGTGCTGGAGGGTAAATCCTCCCTCAGACCAGTTTGGATGGTGCTTTTCCTGTGCCCCAAAAACTCGGGAACAAGCACTGGTTATCAGGAAAACAGGATCCATCCCCATTCCCTGGAAACCTTAAATTTAGGGAAAAATCAAACACCTCTCAGAACAGTCACCATTTCAGGGATAAACAGCAGAATCCTTGATCCTGCTAAGGATTTGTTCTTAAGGCCAGCAGGGGAGAATCCTCGAGCTCCCAGTTCTTCCCTTTTCTACTCCAAGCTGTTCACAGAGGCCATGGAGGCTTTTCCTGCTGCCAGGTCAGTGCTTCACTCTAAACCTTGTGCTCTGTTTGGCCACATAACAAATTTTTTTTTTTCAGACCCTTTTTTTCTGTGACTCCCAGGTTCCCTGGCACTCTGTTCCCATAACTACCAGGAAATTCCTGTATCATTCCTTACCTGAATCTCCAGAATCACCACATCCCATAGCTCATTTCACCCTCTGGGTAATTTTTTGAGGAGCAAGGCTGGGATGTGCCACTGAATAAAGTGCAGCTCAAACACAGGGYTGCCCAATTTCCCTACAGCAAGGAGTTCAAGCACTTTATTCACAAATCTTGGGGGGAAATTTGATGTTTTCAGGGACTCAAAATGTTGTGGAGGCAGCAAACTTGAATCTAAAATCTCCCCTAAACATGGGTGAATTAATGTAAAACTCAGGGTCTTCCAAAAGGAAAATGGAATGGGCTGTGCTGCTCTTTGGCTGATAAATTCCAGGTATTCCAGCACCAATGCAGTTTCCCTGGATTTTTTTTTTTTTTTTTTGTTGTTTTTTTTTTGGTTTTGTTTTGTTTTTTTTTTTTTTTTGTTGGGGTTCTTTTGGTTTTGTTTTGTTTTTGTTCTTTGTTTTTGTTTTGTTTTTATTACAGCCTTACAAGCCCACCATTTGTAAGGAGAATAAATTTTACCTACTCTTTTACTTTTTACTTTTGGAACCAAGCTCCCCAGGATTTTCCCCTTCTCCCCCAAAATTCCAGCTCATCTGCAAGGCAGGGTGGTTATTTTAATTCTGGAACCAAGCTCCCCAGGATTTTCCCCTTCTCCCCCAAAATGATTTCAACAGAGGGAGTTTTCAGCCTGTTCCAAGAATTTCAATCCACACCCACGCCCATGGAAAAAAAATAACACATCAAAGGCACCATACCTCTTTCTCACTATAGGAAATGTTTCTGATGGAGCTCCACTCGAAGGATTTATTTGGAGAGAATCTGTTATTAATRCTGTAGATGTGAATCCCTTTGGCATCAACTCCAAGCAGGAGATCTGTGTGGTTTTTGTTTTGCTGAAGAACAAGCAGTGTCAGGAAATRGCATTTTTGGTGATGTGAAATAACCACAGACAAGAGCTATRTGTTTTAATATATTGAGATTTATCTGTATTTGAGGGAATTTATATATTAAAAATACATATATAAACGATTATGCTTATATATTTAATATGTTTTAATATATTGAGATTTAKCTATATTTGAAGGAATTTATATATGATAAACATGTATATAAACTATTATGTTTATATATTAGCATGTTTGAATATATTGAAATTTATCTGTATTTGAGGGAATTTATRTATAAAATATATAAACTATTATGTTTATATCATATGTTTAATATGTTTATATATAAATATATTTCTATCAAATACTTTATATATGTATATAAGTGAAATATTTATATMATTAAAAATGTAAATGCATTTAAAATTATATATAGTATAGAAATGTTATATAAATTTATAAGTTCTGCAAGTATATAGAATTACAGGTAATTTTTGCATAAAATACTAATTAGTATATGGTTTACATAAAAGATAAAATATGTATCTATATATATTTATATATCTATAAAAATATATAAAATATAAAAAATATAAAAATATATTATAGAAATGTTATACAAATATATAAATTCTAAAAGTATAATTGCAAATAATTTTTGTATAAAATATTATTATAGTTATATATAAAATATAGAATATTTATTCTTATACATCTATATTTATATAAATATATAAAATATAAAACATAAAAATGTATTATAGAAATGTTATATAAATATATAAATTCTATAAGAATATAGAATTATATATAATTTTTATAGACTATTATTAATTAGTATATGATGTACATAAAATATAATATATTTATATATATCTATATATCAATATATGATATAATACATCTATAGATATATTTATATAAACATATAAAATATATAGAATATAAAAAGACATTATAGAAATGTTATATAAATATGTAAATTCTGTAAGTATATAGAATTATACATATTTACTAAATTATTATTGATTATTATATATTTTATATAAAATATGATTAATGCTGTCACAGTTACCAACAAACTCAGTCCTCCAGGTTGACTACAGCAGCTCAAACTATTTCTCCTTCCTATTACACACCTGGAGTTCTCAAAACTTTTGGGACAGTTTTTGGAATCAGATTGTGAAATATTAAACTTTCATATTTTATTCACCTGCTCATTTACCAAACGAGTAAACCCAGTGAGAACAAAACCAGCAGTAGGGAAAAGCAGAAATCAGGAATCCTCCCTGGAGGATTTTAAACCAGCACCGTTATCTGCAAACTGCTAAAATCAGCCACTTACAGCAATGGGGAAATAATTGACACCGTACATTTCCAAGTCTTGGGCAATTTTCAGGTAGTTCATCTCAGCTTCATCCCTGCAGAATAAAGGCATAATTATTAAATTCCTTTCCAGCCTTTCTCTCCTGTCTGATTCTCCATTTCCCACTTTGCAAAGAACAGGTTATCTGGTCCTTTGTACAAAGTTACTTTAATTTTGTCATCTTGCTCTCAATAATAGAAAAAAAAAAGATTAAAAAAACAGCATCTGAACTGAATAAAGACATTTAAGTTGCACTTATTTCAAAAGATGACTCATGGATGCGTAATCTTCATTAAAATTCATTARAAGTCTTATCCCTGTTTTAGTTTTGCCACTTCAGGTCTTGGAAAACCACCCTTCTATTGTTTCCCGTGAATATATCTCCTTCAGGAAATAGAGTTCATTGAGAACCAATAAAGAAGAAAAAAAAAAGAAAAGAAAAAAATATTTCTAGTTAGAAAGGTAAGACTGAAAATGAAYAGAGCTTTTGGGCAAGGCCAAAGAAGGCTGAGTATCTCTCCATCCTACTTTTCTTCTCCCTTCAAGGTGAGGAATCAGTAAATCTTGACGGAAATATTCAATAAAAACCGTGCTAAGAAGCAACAGAAAAAAATGGACCCCAGCTATCAGGAAAAGCTGCCTTTGGGTGCCAACAGCTCCTGTTTATTGTTTAACTGCATTTCCAGATAGGCTGAATTACAC